AGTGGTTCATTGTTGATTGGTCTATGAGTGTGTTATTGCTTGTCTTGGTTAGATCTGTGTCCTGTGTTTGCCTTCCTGGTTTTTGTTTTGTAATATTTAGTCTTAGTTTATTCCCTTTAGTGTTTGACCCCCCGTGGTCCTTTTGGTTTTGTGTTTATAGTGTTTTCTGTTATATTTAATAAACCCCCGTCTGTCTCTGAGCCGCAAGTGGGTCGTCCGCCCTTTTTTGTGCCTGCACCATGCCACGCTCCCGTGCCCGAGATGCCCGCAACCATGACACAGGGCTTCCCTGTAGCCGTGTTACTCAGAAACGTGCTGTCCGACATGCACTCCGCATGGAGTAGCTGGGTTTCAGGGCTTCCCTATAGCCGTGTGACTCAGACACGTGCTGTCTGACATGCACTCCGCTGGCTTGCTGTGTGACAGATACCGATCAAACACTAGAGTACACATTCCTGCAGAGAGGTTAACTCGCCGAGGATTTAATTAGTCTACGAAGCTGCTATGCCACTTTGTTAGAAGGCATATTTGATTTGCCTGGCTGGAAATTATGCATTTTGATACATGCGTATCCTAGCTACAATTCTCAACATTAAGAATAGCTATTCAATTTTTAGACCCTAACAATGTTTATTTGGAAAAAATAGCTGTTAATGCTTTAGATTTGCTTTTACTACGTCTTGATCTTTTTTAATGTCTTTATGCTAGATTGGAAAAAAACATAGGTAACTAAATTACACTTAAGATGTACAGATTAAACCTAATCAAATGATATATCAATAAAAGTAGTTCAGAAATAAGCGAATTGAAGCAAGCCACATGTATGTGAAATAATAGGTGGTGATATATTTATTGCTTACTTGTTTAGCCACATCCAGTACAAAAACAAACCAACAGATTACAAATGATCCATAGGTAATAGGTGTGAAATTGTGAAGTGAAAACGTGACACGGACACTGCAGTTGATGAAGAGCAGATGTGAGTAGTGCTACAATGGTGAAGATTTAGTTATTGATTATGTGGATGGTTTTGGGGAAGAACTGTTCTGGAATTTGGTCGTCAGTGAGACCTCCAGCCCGAATCATGGGGTGAGGACAGCATGTCGCCGGGGTGATTTGGGGTCCATAAGACAATTTGTGCTTTGCTGTGGCAACAGTTTAGAGAAATAATGGTAGCACACCTGACCAGCTGGATTGCCATCCATGAATAGCTCATCATATCTTATGCCACAAAGAAAATTTTGAACCAGTTTCAAGTGGCTTTTTGGGACAGGGGTGACCTGACTGGTTGTTATGGTTTTCTCAGCCAGTAGCTCAGCATCTGTGCTGATAAGAACCTCCAAGCAGATCCTCTTGTGGTTAATGCAGGCCAGTTCAAAATGCACCACTGAAAGCAACTGATAAGTCTTCCAGTGAGTCATGCTGACCAGTTTATACCCACTGATAAGCATTGCTGGTTTCAACTGGAATTTTTACACAAATAGATTTGGCAATGCATGAGTCTATAGCACGTTTAAAACCATAAAGGAGTGTAGTATATCTAACTGATAAAGTAGCGCAGGGTATACAAACAATGACAGGAGCTGTGCTGGCTGCTTCTCACCCCATTTATATTAAAGATAAGTAAAAACAGTTATTTCCAAATAATACATGTGTAACATAAATAATGACACTATTTCATTTCACGTATCAACGAATACAGCAGGCACTGATTCTTCGCTGAAACTGCTTAAATGTATTATTATTACTTCACTGAGGCCAAACTGAGTCTCAGCGACCACACACTGCATCACCACAGTAGTCGAGATATAGATGATCATGATTTACCGTAATTAAATAAATCTGTTGGGTGGCACTAACAATTTTGAATCAATCGCCTCATAAGTGCGTAGAGATATGTCAACAATCCTCCATGCAAGGGTCCATCCCTCTACGAAGCGCCAGGTGGAAATTATGGAAGTTTTACAGGGAAGTATAAAATGGTCGGGTTATTATTTGATTGACAGCTGGTGGCACCGCCCCCGGTTCCCCTCCAAAAAATGCACGAGACAAGCGAGCTTGTAGCGTCACCGCGCGGCGTGTCACGCGGTGTCCGTCCCGTGCCATGGAATTTAATGGCAGCCATTGTTGGTGTTGCCTTTTCTTCAAAGTATTGCTGGGACCGTGAAAATGTACGGATGTAAATCAACGCATGTAAATACATACATCTCAGGCGGCAAGAAAACATGCAGTTGTTGTGGCGTTTGACCCAGAAAACCACCGTTTTTGGAGTATTAAAAATAGTACAAACTACACAAGCAGTTTCAATATTTTCGTGGTTGGCAATTTGCTCTGTTTTTGCTAACGTTGACAATAGCATTAGCGTAATGGCTCATCTGTGGATTATCATGTCTTTGCTATTTCGAAATCATAATTAAAACAGTACAATCGGGCGGACAGCCGGTTTGCTGCGTTGCCGCACCATTCGTCTGCCACACTCAAGATGGCCCCCTTCCGCGTCTGTCCAAGCCCTTCAGATGGGCGCGCGGTGGGCGGGGCCAACGTCGCCTGTGGCAAAGTTTCGGAATGGGAGTAGGAGCTGCTAAAGGCTCCCAGTGAGAAGTCCCGTGTCTGGTTGTCTCAGGGTTCAAACTATATTTACATCCGGAAAGAGAGGCACTTACATTGCAGTTTCGGTGTGTACGATTGTCGCTCAGCTTCATCGCAAAATTGCAGCTATGTCGGAGGACCTAAGTTCCCAGCCTTGGTCCATCAACAAAGATGACTATGAGCTACAGGAGGTGATCGGTAAGTGTACTGCATCGTGCACCGGGGTCCCTGCCTGCTATGGCTCGCGACATTTGCGGCGGCGATCAGATAAGCTGCCAGACTCGATTCGCATTATAGCCCTTGCACTCGGTTATTGATGTAAGCTCTGTGCTGAATGCAGCTACCGTAGCTGGATAAGTGATAAACGGCAGTATGCCTGTCACAGGTAAGCGACGAGTCTTTCCGGATTATTATGATCGCTGTTATTATATATCAATGCTGAAGCCATGCCGACTGGATTCCCGGCTTCGCAGTTTTGGTATAGCAGTATTAGCTAACACCGCAATCAGGTTCACATGCGTGGGCCGGCTGGCCGTGGGGAGGTTGACAGGGGGGGTGCTGTCGGTCGCCTTGACCGCGAACCGTGAGTACCAGTCTTGACCGCAGCTCCCGCACCCCGCGCTTAGCTGTCAATGGGTGGTGCTCAGCTGAAACATCTGGGCGGGGTAAGGGGAGGGGAGGGGAGNAGGGGGGGTGCTACGCTTGACAGCTTAATTACTCTAAGGGTTCCTCTGACACATTGTCCTGATTGGTGGGATATCTGACTGCTGGTTGCTGCAATAATAGTCATCACTGACCAATGTGCAGCCTATCATTATTGATTCATTCATTATGCGTTACTCTTTAATCATTTTGGTTCCCTCGGACAGATTGCAATAACTTGCTTCGTTTTCAAAGTTATTTTCAATATTATTACTATTACTATTAATATTATTATTGCATTACTATTAGTATTTTATCAGTATATTTGCTAAGATTAGCTCAGTGTTTTATAAATATACAGCACAAGAGTGTCAAACAGATTTATGCACTGTGGAATTTTGGGTGTGAAATATGTGGCAACTTTACGGATTTCTTAACTATGTCCAAAGGAATTTAAGACACATACTTTAAAGTATTTGCAAAAGTTTGTTAGAATGCATAACTTGTGGTAATCGTGTAATTCACGTTACTTGTTTGGATCCTAAATTCATAATTTTTGTTTGTTTATTTGTTTTTGTAGTTGACATGTGTTTTTAAGTATTATGAATATTTGAGTGTTCTTGTTGCCTTTGACATTTACAGCAGGTACTTTTGAATGTAATAATACTTGGTAGCTCTTCTTGGTTTTCATGATTGGTAAAAATTTTCAAAAGTGAGAGTAATACATTTGATATTTGTTTATGTTTTCAACACCGGCTTTTTAATTTGTGCAACATTAGTCACTGCTATAGCTGTCAGTGATGTCGTTATTTTAATTGCCACAAATTCAGTGTTGCTAAATCCTTTAAGAACCTTGGGTAAAGCACACCAAATTGCGTAATCAATTTGAATAATCACCAATTGAATAATCATTTTACTGATTATTACATGTCTCACTGTTTCTACCCGTCTATATATTTTGATAGAAAGGTTTTCAGCTTCTTGATACTTTTAATACATTTGTGTTTCAGCATGCTCTTTCCTCCGGAGTTTCAGGTTGTCCGGATGTGGAGTTTGAGGTTTTCTGATTGCCATAATCGCTTTAGCATTCCCTCAAATAACCATGCTGTTATGCAACATTATAAGTTATTTTGTTTTTGTAAGCCATTACCTGAAATGAATTTTTCAGGAGAGATGCACTTCAGTGGGTAGCACTGTGGCCTCACACCCCCAGGGTTGCTGGTTCGATTCCCAGCCCTGGTTCCTTCTGTGTGGAAATTGCATGCTCTCCCTGTGTTTAACTGGGTTTCCTGCTATAGTCCAAAAGCATGTGGTTGGGTGAATTGGTGTCTCTAAATTGCCCGTACTGTTTGTTTGCGTAAGTGTGATGATAGACTGATGTCCTGTCTAGAGTGTTTCCCTTGCTTACGCTCTCTTGTGTTTTCTGGGATAGGCTCCAGACTCATTCTAGGTCTGGATTAAAAATGTAATGAGGGAAATTGTATGGTTTCTAAATTTTTAGATACGGTCATTAAAATCTTTCTTTGCAATGGTGCAAACATGCTTTCTCTTTAGCAAAATCAGTGTGTATGTCACCATGATGTAGCCTGAAATATGGTGGTATCTTCCATGTTTCATACGGCTAAGGAACTCAGGACTGGGCCTTATGTGTGTTTCCTTACTCTTGCAATAGGTACTGGCAGGGAAAAATTTAAATCTGACTCAGGTTAGATTTAATAAGTCAGAATGTTTTATTTTGATACCAAATGAAGACACCAAAAATTTCAATTTCAGCTTCATTCATCTTTATTGGTTTTTGAGATATGGCTATTGGAGTACCCCTGATTCCACCCTAATTTCCACTGTGGTATTGTGATTGTGGGACTTCACTACCAATCTCATTTAAAAACTTCATTATTCAAGCTATATTTTAGTGCTGAGTTTGGTGGGGTTTTTGTAAACTTCTGTGAAAACATTGAGGGTGAAATTGGTTGTCAAACTGTTGAAAAATTGTTGCATTTCAGTGGATAACTTCAGTGCAGTTTTTGAAATAATGACATAGTTTGGCAAAAAGAGTAAGAAACATCCTCTTTTATTATTAATAAATATACTTTATTTGTATTACTATTAGTTACAAAGAAGTGGATTAGTATAATAAATTAGGTTGTAGTAACTTTTACTTGTTGCCCTTAAAAGGAACATATTCATCTTTTTCCCTGAAAAAAAACACTGCTTTGTTATACATCATAGCATACTCAGCATTTTTTGAGTCTCAAAATTACAACCTAAAAATGGTGAGTGCCACCAAAATATTTTTAAAGAATGTCAATAAATATCCCTGCACTGCTGTCCTGGTAGTTTATCCTTCAGACGGCGCGTGAAGGGTGATAATTATGCACACACGATGTAAATGGGGCAGAAAACGATTTGTAAGAAATCCTGCCAGGTGGAGACCAGCCGGTCCCTGTTTATCTAACATTTGATATGCTGAAATAAAAATGCATATGAAGGCGGCATTGAGATGTACGGCTGGGTGACTGACGGAGCAGGAATGAAGTGATTAAGGTGTCCATGCTGTTCTCTTCATCAGGACGGCGAGAAGATACAAGACAAGATGTCCGCCTTCCATATGCGATTAAGTCTGGCTGCTAATTTCTTTTAAAAAGTTAACGGAAGTGGCATCGGGGTGCCAGATGTGCACAGGTGTTTGTCTTCATCTCAAAGTTTAACTGTTATCCTCGTTTCCCACTGAAAACTGGCAGTCACAGGGAAATGCTCTCCAAAATCTCTCCAACATATGTTAACCCTTAAGTGCACCCCCCACCACCTAGAGTAGCTGTCTGATATATGTTTGCATCCAGTTAGCTCAATTTGCTGTCATTATTTATGGCAAACAAATGTAGAAGTAACAGTTCAATTTTCATATGTTTTCCCGAAACTTTCATTGTATACATTAAGTTTTATAAGCCTGGGCAATAAATAAGAAAGTATATTAACCCACGCTTGTTTCTCGGGAACCTGGCAGAGTCATGCATCTGCAGACAAACGGCAAGCATGCTAGCCGCTAGCTAGCTCTGTTACACTGTCTTCACACACGTTTTTTCCGTGACATACATTGTTTGATTTTTCTTTGGGCCTAAAATCTGGAACCCTGAAGCAGAAAATATCTGAGCATTCTATTACTAATGTTTCATTTAGTCATAATGTTATTAGCTTATTTTGCAAATATTCTGGTTTGGGAACTCTGCCATTTTGTCTGTCTGCAAACAATGGCATTATGATTACACAGATCTGTAGCTATGATCAAAAACTGCACAGCCCTGTGTGTTACCTTTAAACACTGGTTCAGGACCATTGTAAAATGGTCGGTATTGGCTGATAAAATTGAACTTTAAGCTGGGAAACTGGTGCGTGTAGAACCGTATTATTCAAATCATGGTCCTCAAGGTCTGAGCACTGCTGGTTTTCCAGCCTTCCTTTCCCTGTGAGCCTGGTGTGAAGCCTCTGACCAATCAGAATCAGTAATTATTAAAGTAACTACCTGGGAGAACTGAAAACAAGGCCTGGATTTGGAATCGAGGTCCAGATTTGAAGAACCCTGGTGTAGAAGAATCTGAGAGTAACTGGATGAGTCTGCTCTTTGTATGTCCTTTTATTGAAATTAATAAGCTCGTTTTTAAGCAGTTCGTAGCACAAGGGATTAATAGTCTTTCTCAGTTGTATTGTGGGTAAATCACCCTTCAACATTTGTTAAGTTCCTGAGATCTATACTCGTGAACTTTGACTAACAAGCTGCTGGTTCCAATGTGCTGTAACGGTAAATAGAATGTTTAAAATTAAATTTGTAAAACATCCTGCTTCATACAGCTGTTAAATTGGAATGTCTCTCTTTGGGGGAAAAAGTTTTTCAACAAAGCTACATGATGTAACATAATGAAGAAGCCCAGCATTCGCAATACAGAGGAACACAGCTACTTCACTGACTGATTCAGAAGATGTAGCAGAATGTCCTGAGTTCACAAAAATCACAAAACGCGAAACGACGACTGCTCCTTTGCTGGGTCATCTGCTTATCTCTAGGATCTCATCAAATGTAAAACTTGTGTGTAATTTAAAACAAGGAATTCAAAAGTGCCCGTCTAGAAGGCATTCATTAGCAGTGTGGTTATGCTTAGAAGGACGTGGTGCAAGTTTGGAAATGCACCCGTGACTAGACACGCCTGTCCTACCTAACCCTTTCCTTAACCCAGACCATCCTGTGCATTAACAATAGGAGCTTTGTACATTCCAGAGTGACTGTGAGAATATGTGCTCTCTCACAATGCCAACTCGCTTTGCCTGGGTGGAGACTGCCCTGGCTTCCCCAGTCAGGTCTGACATGGATCCCTCCGTTCTGCCCACGGGCTTGATACGTGTCGGCTTCAGCCACATATCTGCTAGGCAAACTCTGGGTTCGTGACTCTGCTTAATGGAATTTGGATGGCTACTTTTTTTTCTTCTTCTTTTTCCTGAATGGTCTGCATTTATGACAATGCCCTGATACTTTAGTGTGGGAAACTTAAACAGTTGTCATTCAT